TGAGTGTGTTTCCTCATCACTTTCCTTACCATAAAATGTCTGGTTTTTAAAAAGCGAATTTGTTGCATCAGAGTGCCTCATAACTCTGTTATATTGAACTCAGTCGGGTTGACTTCCCCGTAAATAATTTGTTCAGGACCAGGTGGTAAGTAGCAAGTGATGCTGTTTACTGGACTCTCTTTCACCGGCAAGAGTATGCAAGCCTTCAAGCATAAGGAATAAAAGGAGAACTCGGCTCCTTTTCAGTCGAAACTCTGGCTTATCCTTTCCAGCGGAGAATTGACTAAACAAGGGCTCTGTCAGCTGGCTGACAATTTTCCAGCCTAACCTGAAATCAGCCTGACAGTAGCTGGGCTGCCTGTTCACCTGGGGGCTAATTTTTAAAGCTGGTAATTGGCTCTCATCACTGTCATGTCAGATTACACTATTCATTCTCTGGCAAAGCCTAAAAAAAGAGAGTAGGGAAATAATGTTTGGTGGGAGGAAACGGGAGATGAAGCCTCCTCCACACCCCTGTCTCTCTCTCCCCCCTTCTCTCTCATTCTGGCCAATGTGGCTCAGCTTTGGCCATGCAGGATCCTGATTAAAAGAGCGAAAATACCATGTGGGACTGGGACGATAACACGGCTGACAGCCGAGCCAGCCATGCCAAAGTTACGTGATGTGTGTGAAAGCAAAGTTCTGTGCGCGAGGAACCTGCTTTAAAGAAGCATCCACGAGAAGTGCCAGAGGGTGGGGGTGAGTGGGGATAATCCCGCTGAGATGTCTTCATGCAACTGACAATTTGTAATTTGAAATGTGCAGTTTTTCAGTTGGTGTGAAACTGATGAAGCAAGCTCGGTTGCTGGACCGCAGTTAATTTCATTTAAAAAGCCATGTTTCCTTTCACAGAACAATGCCCTCCTTGTCTAAAGCTGTCCGGTGAGAGAAACATTAAGGGCACAGAAGCTCCTCTGTAAGATGCTTCCACATACATGCAGTGTAATCCTATACATGCCTCCTCAGAAGTCAGCTTTGTTGTTCCCCGTGTAAGTGTGTATAGGATCGCAGTGTCAGAAGGGCAGTAACTTGTTTTCCTGGCAATCAGAGCCAAAATGAATTTGCATCCCAACGTTCTCCTCTGAAACTGATGGTGTCAACTGTTCTTCAGATACACTTTGAATATTTGTCAAATACTTGCCAAATATTTGGCATCCAGTGACATTTGATATTGGGTGTGAGATAGTATTAAGTAGTTGGCAGCATTTTATAGATGAAACACAGTGGTATTTTTGCATTTGGCGGTCGACAGTTGAGCTTATGAAATTTCATATTTTGGGCAGAGGGGAGGGAGTTTGGAGGGGAAGGTGTCAATCCAGAAATGTAAACAAGCTTAAAGTACTTGAATGTTGAAAGTACATTTTCAGTTCAAAAATGTCGCTGTCAAAAAGTTAGATGTCAACTGTTGAGATTTTGTCAAATTTAGAAAATTTATAAACTTTTTAAAAGCTCAGCTGTGATGGTCATCATGTCATTATAAGGATTCACATACTTCAGGGTTGAGACCTAGGAGAATCCACTTAAGTGCTTAATATGTATCCTGTAACCTGCTCCCCACAGTTCTTGTGTTCTTCATCCCATCTGCTACTCACTGTCCCCTACATCCTCTGCTGGACCCAACCACTTTGCCTGTGGTCCCTTTACTTGGTACTTGCATCTCCTTCCACAACTCTTTTCACTATCTTTTACCTGCTATGCAATTTCTGCCTTCACTATAGGCATCAGGACAAACGTTTCTCCTGTCTGACTGATGGACTAGCCCTATAACAAATAAGTCACCCGTGGCAATTGCTGGGGTGTTCTAACATTATCCGCAAACCTGTGGAAGGGTTGGAAGTTTTTGATGCACCATTTGATATGTGATAGTGAGACTGTTTGTTTACCTGAGCCATCCTTCTCTCTCCTGCCTGCCTGCAACAGATGCTTTCCTCCTGACCAATGGATCTTTGCAAAAAAGCAGTGGATGGGATCCAATTGTAATTCTGCCCCAGCAAAAGCTATTAGCTGTTTCTGGAATTAGTCTCACATTATTTCAGGGAGGTGGCAGTGCAGCCTCTGCAGCCTACACACTCCGTCAACACACTTTGCTGGCCAATTTCTTATCTGTCGGATTCTAACATGCCTGCTGCCGACAGAGTGTTTGAACAAACTGCCAGATTCTCTCTCCATGTGACACTGCAGGCATCTGTTGCTTGTTCGGGGTGGGGGGAAGCACCCCACCCTCTAGCCGGTTGATATTGTCATGAGCCAGCCAAACACTCGTCATCCTAGATCAGGAAGACATGTCTTTTCTTTAAAATTGAAGGCCTGAGAAACGGGTTTGTATGCCAAGACAGTGGCAGCATTTGGGGGATTGTTCTTTACAGCAAACTGCGCCATTCGTGATATATGCTGGTTCCTACAGCAACTGATGGACCCAATTCATCTTCCATGTAGCTGTCTGCAAATTGGCAGCCAGGACACCGGCATTTTCAGTACCCTGGAAGGGAGAGGAGAAATAGACTTGTTCTTTCTTCCTTGTGACAGGATCAAAAGCTAAGGACTGAAAGCAGCTTGTCAAAGTCAGCTTTTTGGGTCTGCTGCTGCAGGAATATAGAGATATATAAATGGCTGTAGAAAATAGGACTTACAGAGCAGATTTTAAACTAAGTACGTTTCAAAACGTCCGTCCAAAGCACAGCTGCAGGATTCTAGATCAGGCCTGCGCAATGTGTGCCTGATCGAACTGAACACAGCCCACCCTCTGGCCTGGGATCCTGCTAGGCACTTTTCAATGCACCTCCCACCTCAATGTTTTTACAGTTCTAGGCAGGCAGCAAAAGCAAGACATTTCCTGAGCCTTTGATGACCAGCTGTACATGGCTACTGAGCTGTATTTGGTTTGATGGGATGGAAACTCTGCTGGACTGCTGTAGGAGAAGATCAAATTCTTAAAGAGCTCAAAAGCTGTCACTTGAAGACTCTCAGCAGATTCCTTCGGAGACTTGTAGCGATGAAGTGAATGTGGAGGCAGAGATACCGCAGTTGAAGAGGAATCCAGCAGTGCAGGTTTAAGGCTACATTTGCAGATTTGGACGGTGTCATCCATGCAGGTCCAATTAGTCCATCCTGGGACACCTCCTCAACTTTACCAGAACCTGAAACATATGAGCCACTTTTAGGTCAGATTCAAACCATACATTTAAACCACACGGCTTCCCCCAAACAATCATAGGAACCGTAGTTTACCCCTCACAGAGCTACAGCTCCTAGCAACTGTAACAAACTACAGTCCCCATGATTCTCTGGGAGAAGCCATGTGCTTTAAATGTATGCTATTGATGTGATTTGTACTATACAGATCTAACCTTTCTCCTAGCATGCTTTTGGAAAAAGTGTGATTCATGTAGCATGTAGCTTGGCCCTTGCACTATTTTTGTTGTAGTTATGTCATCTCCAGGGGTGGGACTGACCTGTGAGTAATCATAACATTCGGAGTCTTACTTCTCTCCCTCTCTCACCATCTGGTGTCACTCAGTTTTTGCCCTTGTGTCTATGGAATTTTCTGGCATAGGAGTTATGCTGGTATAATGTTATACCAGTGCAACTTGTGGATAACCAGCCTCATATAACCAACATGCTTAAGTCTAGTCAATGCACAAAGGGGTTAATACAATAGAGTAAGCTGTCCTGCCAGGCGTAGCTCACCTTGGGAAAGACTAGGTAATCAAGCCTTTTATTCCCTTCCAGTCTATCTATTGAACTCAGCATGTTGCTTCAACTTAGATGCATGGTTCTCACAAGCCACAAGTTCCTATACCTGTAATTTAGGAACTTTCACCACCTTTTAACTTAAGCCATGTTTTACTGCCTATGCAGTTTTTCCTGACTGATGTATGGAAAAGCACATGAACCTTTCAAAAGTTTGTAAGTAAACCAATTTTAACTTGCCAAACTTGTGGTCTTGTCCTATGCTGGGGGAAGAGGGAGAACTCACAAGGGCATATTTTAAAGGTCTAACAGACTATATTTCTATGCTTTACTTTACTACATATTTTGTGATTTCAAATCTCTGCTGGGGTTCTCACACCAAAGAGTATGGTACTTGCTCCAGACTTGGATCTTGGTATCCAATGAATTCTTCATACATATATATATATATCTTGAACTAATGCATCTGTGGTGTGACACCAGTGCACATCCCTATATTCAAGCAGTGTCATCATCATGACTGGACTTATTAGCGGCCCTATCCTCACCCAGCTGGCATGAAGAAATGATTTTGGTGTGTTAGATATCTTGGATAGATTTGGGCAGGTTGTAAAACTAGGCACAGCAGAAGGAATGACTCCCTAGTGCATATCAGTCGCCTCTCACTTTCCAGCGTGGATTGTAAAATTAACACATTTATCCCAAACTGTCTAAATAAAGAGACCAATTTAGAACAACCCATATTTGCAAACATCTAATCTTGAAATAATCCAAACAAGCTGTTGCCTAGTCTTCATCCATCTTGTGTCCCGAGGGAATAAACAATACCAAAGTGCCCGACTTCTGTTCAGCTTTCTGTGCCTCCATGAAAGGCATAGCGTTTTGTGACTTTTGACTTCACAGGAAGTGCTGCTGGCTGCATGACCAAGTCACTCTCTGTAGCATCCATTGTCACCCTTAACCCTCTTGTCAAGAAGAGTCTTTGACTGTGTGCACACTATGCCTTTAAAGCACATTTGAAGCACATTTCCCCCTCAAAGAATTCTGGGTATTGTAGTTTACCCCTCATAGAAATACAATTCCAAGCAACCCTTAATAGACTACAGTGCCCAGAATTCTTTAAGGGCGGAAACGTGCTTTAAAGATATAGTGTTTATGCAGCCTTAATACTAAAATGTGGGTACAGACTGCTATTCATAGAATCATAGAATTATAGTTGGAAGGGACCATGAGCATCATGTAGTCCAACCCCATGCAATGCAGGAATCTTTTGCCCAATGTGGGGTTTGAACCCACAACCTGGATATTAAGAGTCTCATGCTCTCCTAACTGAGCTATTCAAATGGGAAAACAACTTTTGAAAACAGAGCTTTTATGCCCTTTGGGCAGCTGCTTCCATCATTTCTTGCTCCTTTGTTCTTCTTCTATGCACACTCTCAGTGATGTAAGATCAAAGGCCATACAAGCTGCCACGTTCAGATTTCATCAGTGTCACCCAATTTGCTTCCAGTTGTTTCAACAGACTCTCTCTCTGTCTGTAAAGCTCTCCTCCAAAGTTAAGCTGCACCCCCCAGCAGAGACCCCTGGTATGGACCTTACAGGGGTGGAGGAGCCCAGGAGAAGCCAGGTGCCCTACTTCTTTGAAAAGCCTCTAGACACATCAGCAGACAAATTCATCATGTCCTGTAGTTCTGACAGCATCAGACGACAGTGTCACCTTTCATCACAGTGAAGATGGATGATCTGAACAAAAGCAGGAAGGTTTGAATGCAAAGTAATGACTCAACATCTGCAGCAGGACAGAGAATGGACGGGAGTCTGAGGGTCTCCTTCAGAGACCATGTTTGTGTGAGTTGGACTTGTTTGAGGAGCTTGTGAAGATGGAGCTTTTGCTTGCCGTTGCGTATGTCTGAATCCACAGGAGTGTGGTTTTACAACTGTGCACCCCTGATGTGGGGTGGGAGATTTGCCCACAGAGCATTTTCTGGATTTCTTCCCAGTGTTTTATTTGTCCTGCACAATGTTTTCTGTTCCATAAGTTCAAGAGTAACAACAAATTGATGCTAATTGCAAACCGAATGGAAATTCTCTCCCATCCCTAAACACCACACAAACACATTTTTTTAAAAAATGTGAGGGATCACTTTAAGATACCTTGTGTGCTCAGCGTTCATGCTGATTTGTCTGCAGGGAGGTTAGATAACGTCATGTCAGGCAAGTATAATTCCAGTGCATTTCTTCATCACTTTCCTTACCTGATTTTTTATGGGAGCAGATTTGTTTTGCAAGAGCTCCAAATGATTCAGTTGCCTGAATTTGTAGATATGTGATTGACTTCTATCTGAAAATAGTAATAGTCTGGAAGTGCTCAAAATATTTTACCCTTCAATATTGCTCAAACTCTGCTTCATGGTAAGGCTGCATCTGGCCTTTATTTCCCCTACTGTTGCATTTCAAGCTATGGAGAAAGCTTTGGTACAGAACAATGAGAAAATACACCCTGGCTTTTTGTTCTTCCTTTCCCCTCAAGCAATCAGTGGGAGGAAGGGGTAATGACAGGACTTGCTGACATTTGTCAGGAATGAAGGGAAAACAAATGTTCCCCTTGGAACTTTGAATTTTTCAGGTGTTCAGTTTGAGTAAATGAGTATTCAAATTTGATGCGTAAATTTTAAAATAGCACTATTTGATTAATCTCCAGGGACGACTTTTTCATTCTATCCTTTGCTCCTTGGTTTTCATGCCAGAGCTAAATGCTTTTCTCTGGGGTGACAAATGGCAGCATCTCCAGGACACTCATTGGCTATGCAGAGAACTTCACATCTGAACAAGTAGGCGAATGAGCTGTGAAACGCATTTGATTTAACTTAGTTTCCTGCATGCCGTGAGCACTGGGACACCTGGAAAATGGGATGCAGGCAGGGACAGTAGAGAGGGGAGAAACTGAGATGGAGGGAAAACTAGGATGGTAGAGACGAGACAGATGTGGTGGTGCTGGACTGCAGATTTTATGATTTCTAACAGCAGACTAGGCAAAGGCATGAACCACAATGGAAAATGAAGTAGGAAGAATCCCACTTCTTCCCGGAAGGTACAGTACCTATGGCAGCATCCTAGAAACAATGTGGTTTTGGGGATAGGCTGGTAGAACTGGGGCTGGACCTGCCATTAGGCAGAATGTGGTGGCTGCCTCAGGCAGCTGTTTTTGGGTGTCAAGAAAGGATAGTCCATTTCTAGTCATTTCATTTATTGTATTTTCTATTCCCAGGGTGAGGTGCTCATGGGATTTTCTGGCTTAAATGCTGGAATAAGTTTCATTGTCTGAGTACTATGCAAAACGAAATGGAGAATGAGCTTCAGTGCTCACTGATGTAAAACTCTTAGTTGAAGCTTGAGCAACTTAAGAACCAGCTTGAAGAAAGTATTAGAGCAAAAGAAGAAGTAGAGGTTGACAAAAATTGGTCTAAGGCAACATCATGCCACCTGATGTAGACCAGCTCTGCTTCAAGTGGCTTAATATCACTGTTCTAAGCAGTATGTCAAATAAGAAAGGATGTGTTCCCTCCTGTGCTTTTCTGCCCCATCAACAGACTCTTTTCAGGCCATCCGTAGAACCTTGTCAGAGTGAGAACATTTTCCTGCTCTCCAGAGATGGAAGGTGCTGCTTATTTGACGCAACAAAGTTTGAAAGGCTTAATAATTAATCAGCCATGGAATCTTAGATGCACTTCAGGATCTCTCTTTTGGCAGCCCTTCATCATGTGTCACTATCTCCAGCCAATTGGCACAAAAACTGACAAGTATGTCATATTTTATTCCTGTGCAGCTATGCCGGAGAAATTTAAAGGGGTTCCTAGTCTGGAGGTAGCCCTGTTGGCTTTTTGCAGTATGGTAGCGCTGCAGAGAGCTTGCTGGGGAGACCATGCATTAAAAAGGGACTCAAAAATAATTTAAACAAGGTTTTAATAAGAAAAACAAAAACTCCTTTTACACTAAATACATTAACAAACAAACATGACCCAACCACCAACCCATCCCCCAGGGTAATGGGAGAGCTAGGTGCTGCTCCTTATATACTACACCCAATTGCCAACACAGCTTAATCAGTACAACTCGGCAGCACCTGCTATGTTTCACAGCTGTAAAGCTGGGTCTCGTTATCTTGCTCTGGCCCTTGCTTTGGCCCCTTAAAGACATACACATCGGGTGGAACAGTGATGAACCTTTACATTTAAAGAAACCATTCAACAAGCCCTCCCAGAAACCCAAAAGAGGAGGATGCAGGCTCCAAGTGGAAAAATAGGCCTTTATTGAAATACAGATAGGGACAGCCTCAAAAATAAGGATGCTGCTGCAAAGACCCACATCCAAAGCAGAGTTTCTTATACACTTCCAGGTTACACACATGATTGCCAAACAACCAATCAAATGATTACAACTTTCCCATAGAAAGTACAAGCCATAGATCCAATCAGAGATTCTTATGCTCTCATTATAATAATATGTGATCATGCATTGCCACCCTTCATGGTCTAATTCAATTAATTTCGGATTAATTACTCTATTCTTTACATGTCTACAAACATCTATTTTTAATAATCCATAATGAATATATCCGTTCTCTACATTAACTTAAATTCAATGATACTGTTCTGCCTAGTCATATCTCCTTTTATGTATTCTCAACTTTTCATTCTTTCCCATTAGAATACACACTGTACTTGAAACATTCTCTTTTTTCCTACTAGAAGGGGCTGGTGAGAATTCATACATGGATTGCTAAGCAGCACTGCTAATATCACCTGTGGGGTTTTAATGAACAAAATGGAGAGAGATAAAGGGAGATAGGAAATTCTCGTCCCTTCAGTTGTGGACAGGATTATGTTTCCGAAACCTAAAATTCTGTGCATTGTTTTCAGGTTTCATTTTCTAGAATTCAAATAAGCAAATTCATTGTTTCCAGCCTTGGAACGGGTATTAAATGGTAAAGGATGCAAATTGCTTGAAAGTGAGAGACAATAAATCTGCACAGTTCTGCTACTGTGTGTGTGAGTTAGAGAGAGCAAAGTATGTTTATGCACATTTGCCCACAATTATGCAAATATATGTGCAACACAGTCTATGGGGCTTTTTGTTCCTGAACTTTGGCAGGTACAACATTTTAATTTTTGATGTGGTGGGTAGACGTAGCTCCCTGAATAGTATTCAAGCTGAAGGTAATATGCGGATGAAAGAAGGGGAAAAGGAATTGCTCGGAATAGTTAAGAACTGTGCAAACACCAAATAGATAGAGTTAGAGATCATAATTTAATGCTTCAAAAGTAGGTAACCATTTTAAAAAGTCTTCTATCCTGCCCTCTCTTCCAAAGAATTTCAGCTCCAAAGGTGGACTGATATGGGATATCAGGGATATATCAGGGATATATCTCAGGGCTCTGATATGTTAGAAAGAGAGAATTTCCCTCTCTCTTTCCTCAAAATGCTAGTACTTTGGGTCATCCACTTCAGTAGACTGGCATGAGATTCAGGACAGCCAAATGAAAATACTTTTTTTACATGCTCTATAAATGAGTCATGAAATTCTTGGGCATAAGATATGGTGGTATAGGAACAAAGGAATCTGCCTCATGCCGAGTCAGACCACTGGCCCAGCTAGCTCAGTGTTGTCTGCACTGACTGGCAGCGTCTCTCCAGGGTTTCAGGCAGGGGATCTTCCCAACCCTAACTGGAGATGCCAGGGATTGAACCTGGGGCCTTCTGCATGCAAAGCAGATGCTTTGCCACTGAACTACGGTGCTGGGGTGGAATTCTAATGCAAGGCAGGCCCCTACAGGTGATACCATAGGATCTTATGTGAAATGATGGCTCCACATGGAGCATCATTCAGGGTTAATCACCCAGTCCAAGAAGCAAGCTAAACAAACATATGACCAAACAAAAAAGACCTCAGGCTGTCCTAGAGCCTGATATAGTAATAGTGTGTGTATGTATATATGGTATGTCTATATTAAAATTTCAATATAGACATATATACATTCATTTTCTGACTTTTTAACTAATAGTTCTATTAGTTTTCTGTTAACCCAATACCTGTAAAAGATTAAATACTGAGACTGCAATATAATAATAAGTACGCCAGGACCATCTGCCTTCTTCCCCCTCCCTCTCCAGGTTCCACTCTGGGGTGATGTCCACTGGCTTAGAGCTTTTAAAAAAATGATCAGATAGCTTCATGGAGGATAGGTTTATCAGAGGTTTTTAAACATAATAGCTATATCATAGAATTGTAGAGTTTGAAGGGACCCTGAGGGTCATCTAGTGCAACCCCCTGTGATGCAGTATCCATGACATTTGGCCATCCAATCTCTGCTTAAAAACCTCCAAGGAAGGAGAATCTACCATTTGCCTTGGCAGTTTGTTCCACTGTTGAACAGCTCTTACTGTCAGAAAGTTCCCCCCCCCGATGTTTAGTCAGAATCTCCTTTCTTGTAACTTTATTTCATTGGCTTGGGCCCTACCCTCCAAAGCAGCAGAAAACAAGCTCGCTCCATCTTCTATGTGGTAGCCTTTTAGATATTTGAAGATGGCTATCTTATCTCCCATCAGACCCCTCTTTTCCAGAATAAACATACCCAACTCCCTCAACCGTTCCTCAGAAGGCTCGGTTTACAGAACCTTAATCATCTTGGTTGCCCTCTTCTTCACACTTTCCAGCTTGTCAAAACCTTCTTAAATTGTGGCGCCCATAATATATTACCAGACCCTACAAGTGTCCCTATTTTCCAGGGACATCCCTGATGGAGTTTTCTGACCCCTGAGCCATCTGAAGGCAATCCTGTATAGGGAAGGGTTTTTTTTAATGTTTAATGTTTTATTATATTTTTATATATGTTGGAAGCTGCCCAGAGTGGCTGGGGCAACCCAGTAAGATGTGTGGGGTATAAATAGCAAAATTATCATTATGGAATGGGACCTCCCTATTTTCATCTGAGAAATGTTGGAGGTTATGTATTACATATGACCTCCATGTTCAAAGGCAGTGCATCTCTGAATACCATATGCTGGGGACAAGCCATGGCTGGGGAGACTCAGCCAGATGGGCGGGGTATAAATATATTATTATTATTATTATTATTATCATCATCATCATCATCATCGGGTGTGTTGGTGTGGTTGCGTGTTGATACCGTCATGCATCTGCTTGGCTATAAACAGGATCCTCAACTAGACAGGTCCTTGGCCTGTTGCAGCCGGATTGATCTTATCTTACACTGTCAGGGGAAATGTTTTCTCCCTTTACTTTTCACACTTCTTTTTCTTGACAAAGTTACAAGGTAAAAAGGTTGACTAAAAGCCGGCACCGCTGACTATGATGGAATACCTAAAAATATCCGAATTGTCTCTCTTTTTTTCAAATAAAAGGATGAAAAGAAAAATGAGATGCAGTGGGAAACAACAGAGAACCATGTAAATCAAACAGAGGTGGAATGGATGTGCCTTATCCAGGATTCAGCCCCTAGCAATTACTTATTCAGATAACAGATTATTAGAGTAGAGAGAGAATAACTTCATATATATATATATATGCCTGAGGAAATATATGGAAAGGCATCTGGCTCTGTGCACGGTGGAACTATTCCAGATGTTTCCATCTGGCACCATGCCGGTTGTTTGTCAAGGCAAAAAATGGGAAATGTCAGAATCCCTGTTGAAAAATAAGAGTAATAGTTAAAGTCATGACTCCCTATGTTAACATGGTTTGGCATTCAAAGTGTGTAGAATAAACCATTATTGACAACTTAATATGTGGATATAGCACTATACTGTGTAAACACCAATGTCATATGTAAAGATTCTTTAGCTGTTTTTCAGGGTTGATCTGCACAATCATTGGAAATGCATTTTGTATCCTTTACGCACTCATGAGACATGATTGCCTGTCGGCGAGGATGTTTAGGAGAGGGGTTGATGGGTTTGATCCTACTGCTAGGAATCCTAATAATATTCATCTGGGGCTTGGAAATCCTTGCCAGGCATCCCACACCACTGCAGATTCACCAGGATCTGATGGAGCATTTGGGACAGCACACAGTAAGCGTATTATATTCCAAGAGAAGCATGTGCATCCCCGTTTACATGCTCAGGAACAATATTGGCTGTATATGGCCACAGAATATTTATTTATTTATTTATCTATTAAATTTCTATATTGCCCTTCACCCACAGGGTGGCTTACAATATAAAAACACAAAACCATATAACATAATAACAGATGAAAACAATAACCTCCCCCTTTCCCACAGATATGCTGCACACATCAATAAAGTCCCCCCACATCATTTCTTGTAGTTGGGATAGGATGGATCTGTTAAGAATTTTTAAGAAGGCAAAACATAAACTAGAATAGTTGCATAAGTTACATGGTAATGCTATAAGAAGGAGTAGAAAAAAAAGAGTGAGGCTGGGGTTTTTTTGGGGGTGTTTGTTGGACAAATTTTCAATTGAAAAATAAAAACGCAGAGCCTTCCTGCATTCATTTGACACAGTAGGAAATGCATAGACTGCAGGAGAGTTGAAAATAGTGATGATGATGATGATGATGATGATTGTATTTTGGATTTAAAAAACATGGGGATACTGAAAAGAGGAGAGTTCTACCATTTGTCACCATTCATATCACAGGCACTATCTATCTATGCTAATGACCTTTTGCAGTAACATAGAAATAGTGTCCAACAGGCCCTATTCACTATTCATGGTCTCCATTAGGAGGCCATGACACATGCAGAACCCACTCCAAATGACAAATGAAAAGCAATTAATGTGATATCTATGAGAAGAATAGCATTTTCCCATATGACTGATGCAACTCGTCCTGTGGGGGAAAAGGTACTTTCAACTGAAGCACCATCTCAAGGGAAGACATCTGAACGTAAGCAACAAATAGGCAATAACTAAATGTTTTGTTATAGAAACAGCTCGGCAAGGGAGGCTGCAAGTTTGAACCAATGTAATCTAAGGAGGAAAACCATTGAATTTTGATATTGGGGGGGGGGGGCTGAATTTGGTTGAAGCCCCACCTCAGCCACAGCCTCATGGCAAGTTGTTGTGGGCTCCGGTTTTTCATTGGCACAATGAGGAAAGCCTGACGTAGCTCACAGACTTGCCCTGAAGACAGACACAATTTGCCTAACATTTGCAAATTAAAGTACACTTCATCACAGAAGGGGATATTTGCTGTGCCGAGAAGGGAAGGAGGGTTGTAGGCATTACAGAGATGTGGTGATCATGGAAGCATCGATATCAGCTGATAAAGGATTCTAACACTGCCAGCAGGGGATGAGAGCTGGGTTTATCATTAGCACTATGCTGTGTGTCTTTTGCTAAGGGAAAGTGTGTGCGTGCGTGAGAGAGAGTGAGCACATGCAGCAAGAGAAATGATCAGAATAAATACAGAAAGGTAAACATGGAGCTACAATTAAGTCTGTAACAGTTACCATAGTTACCTAATATCAGGGCAGATAAGCCAGTTTAAGTGAGCAGTGCCTGTTCCATTGCTGTGAAGCTGGGATGTAGTGGAAAATAAGACATCCATGTTGGACTTAGTGGTCCTGGAATAAGGGCCATTCTGTTAACACCTGGAACACCTTGAGCTGCTCAAGCAGGCTAAAGAGGGACATGAGAAAACGTGCTATGTGATGTTTTTGCTTTAATTTACAGACCAGTTGGAGCCAAACAAGGCAATGGCAAAGTTGGAGTGTGCTATATGCCATTAAATTGGCAGGAACTAGTAGCAGCACGAAAGTAACCTGGTGCCACTCCAATTTGTTCCACGTAGGACTTAGGATGGAATAAACAGACTTTATTTATTAACATCACTAAGATTCTCACATGGCGTTTCTGAGGCATCCAGAACAGCAGGTCAAAGATTTGACACACTGGACGCAAATATTCTGCATATATGGTCATGAAAGATTAGTGTAAAGAGGAGATGAGTTATACCTGATGCCCATATCCTCAACAGTGTGGTCCCACTTCTGCTAGATTTCTTCCCACCAGTGCACCCACCAGTATCTCCTATGAAGCCCATAAAAAGTCTCAGTAACTAGCCCTCTAAAACCCACAATACGTTGAATGCCCCCACTAAAATCCACATCTGTATTGGATGTCTGGATTAGAGAGCTCCAAAAAGCATTTTGGTGGCTGATGTAGGTGCCTATTCCCCATCATCGGGGGCCATGCCAACACCATTTTGTGGCTCTGTATCTTTGTAGCACCCTGCTTGTGGTTAACGCTTAGCTGGAATGAAATATTCAACGCAGCAATAGAGAAATTAAAATAATAATTTATTTGTCAGACAAATAAATGAGAGACACAGTGGTATATGGATACCAAAGCTCTGCCTACTCCAGCCCTGATGGCCAGCACTTATATTTCCTCAGCCCAGCCCCCTTGCTCCTCCTTTGGCTGCCTCTATCCAATCAGCCTGGTTGAAATTCCTATTGGTTGTTTGCTAGAACCAATCATAAAAGATACACCCATTTCCTATTTCCTTTTATGGGAGACAAAGAGCTATATTTCCTTGTATCCATAAATGGCAGACAAGTAGCCATATATCTTACATTTACCTCGACCAGGCACCTCAATTACCAGATAACCTTTGGCCCCTGTTGCCCTATTCACTGCAAACCAGATGGCTAAAGCAGATGGTGCATGGTTTTTAATTTTTTTTTATCGTAAAGAGATCTTGAGTTCACCTTCTCACCCACCATAATAAGAATCTAACATAAGAATCTA